GTAACCTGATGGATGCAACTCCAATTACAAGCTTATCAAACTGACAAAAACCGCAGCACGGCTATTTATAGACTGAACCGAAATAGACAGCCAGCGCTGTCCTCCCAAAAGTGGTCATGAGGCAATATGGCCCACACGAGCCGCCCGCGTCGAGCGATTCTTCTGCCGCACGCATACCCTCTGCGCACTGATGTGGGCCGCTGGATGTGACTGATGCGTGTTGTGCGTTCGCGTGTCAGTTTTGAAGCTAACTGAAAGCAGCACTTGACAGAGAAGAGAGAATGATGTGAGCAGAAAGAGCGAGAGAAATGAAAATGAGTCATATCTCTAAGGATGCAGACAGAGAGGAGAGCTGTGCACAGGCACGGTTGTCACTGGTCGCAGACACATGAATAAATAAAGGCATTATAATGAAGACAACTCGCCGTCTGCCCATCAAAGCCTGCCCAGCCTGGCACCAAAGCTCAGGAGGGAGAGAGAGAGGAGCAAACGAATAAAAAAAAAAAAAAGAAAGAAGAGCGAGAGACAGGATGAGACAGGAGAGGAAGAGAGAGCGGCCCATCACTGTGATTGACAAAGATGAGCACTGTCTGCTTCTATTAAATCAATCATCGCTATAGGACTCAAGTCTCGGCTCTCTCAATAGGCTAACAAGCTCAGGACTTCAGCGTTTCTATCAGCCGTTTACTCTCGCGTCCCCCCGTGGAGCGAAACATCTGGTCAGTTTCTCTTATCTGCTTTATTTCACGCTCAGGTGGCTTAGTGAGGTGTTGTGTGCCATTTCCCCCACGTGCCCCCTGCCAATGGTGTCATATTTGGACTGCTGTCTGTGACATTCTCTTTCACACCTCCCACCGCTGGGCTGCTTCCATGTGACATCCTCACCATAGCGACAGGGCCGGAGGAGGAAGACAGCCGGCGACTCGGCGAGGGATGATCAGATGCGTGCGGGCCTGTCAGGAGTCTTCATCGCTCTGTCCAGACTAGGAATAGGTCATGCTGGTTGAGTCACTCAAGAACAGACTAGTCGATTAGTGAGATTGACTAGTTTATCTAGACTTTTTCTTTCTTTTTTTACTGTCTATCTGGAAAAAAAAGACACCAACACAGCTGGTATAAACTGGTTTTGGTTAAACTACTTTAAATTATGCTTGTAACTCAAAAAGAAAAGGGCTTAAACTACAGTAGTCAGGCTACAAACAACACTATCCTATACTAAAGCTATTAAGAATGCAATCTCTTTTAAAACACAACTATCCAATTAAAATATGTATAGTTTAATTAGTGTCAAATTTTCTGGAACAAAAACAATCAGTTTGAAGTGATAATCCAACCAAAAATACACAAAACCAAAATGATGATTTTTTTTTTTGAGTGTTTATAAGAACTTCCTGAACAAACCGTTTCACTAGAATGAATTTAAAGGGGTCATATGATGGGATTTCATTTTTTCCTTTCTCTTTGGAGTGTTACAAGCTCTTGGTGCATAAAGAAGATCTGTAAAGTTGCAAAGACTAAAGTCTCAAATCCAAAGAGATATTCTTTATAAAAGTTAAGAGTCAGCCACACCCCCCTAAAACGGCTCGTTCGAACACGCCCCCACATATCTACCTCACTATGTGGGAAGATTTGCATAACGCCGCCCAAATGTTCACGCAAAGAAAGAAGGCGTAACTTTTATTCTCACTGTAGTATTGTTGTTGCTGCCATGTCGTGAAGGCGCTGTGTGTTTCGTTGTGAAAGCGAAACTACTTTGTTTGGTCTTCCAAAAGAGGACGATATCCGCTTCGTCATGCCTAGAGCTGATCTGTGCTGGTCGCTGAGGGAATACATCAACTTAGTGCTGTGGATCACCGGATCGGCTTTCACCGTTTTCACCGCTCCTTCGTCGGATCCGCCGGGCGCGCCGTTCTCGACCCCGCCGCCTCAGCTCACTCTTGCCCGGCTTCAGCTCAGGCTAAGCCGGGGCTTTCGCACACGGTAGGCCGCTGTGTTTTTCGTTGTGAAAGTGAAACTACTTTGTTTGGTCTTCCAAAAGAGGACACGACTAGAAATCAGTGGTTAAGTTGTATTTACAACACTGTTCCAGAACAGTTTAACCCAAATATCTAGATGTGTGCAGCGCATTTTATGGAGGACTGTTTCCTGATCCTGGTAGAGCACAATGCCGGCAGTTCTGACTCACATTCTGTAAGTACGTTTTCATTTAAAGGATTTGCCACTGATGATTCAAACACGAGTTTTGGGCTGTGTAGAGTAGTGCTTGTTGTTTGTCCGATCACAAATGCAGACATGGTTTTATGTTTATGCGGCGCGATGCAACGCAACGCGTAAAAAGACAGTATAAGTCATTATAATCCGTAATTATGTCCCCACTGGATGCAACAAATGCCTCGTTTATATTGGGGTTTTAATGTTTTTGTCTCATCGCTCCGGCCGACAGGGCATCACAGTATGGTAAGGGGCGTAACATTTCCGTCACACGCTTGAGGTATTCGGCCAATCACAACGCACTGGATAGCTGGCCAATCAGAGCACACCTCGCTTTTCATACCGATGAGCTTTGTAAAAATCGATGCGTTTCAGAAAGGCGGGGCATAGAGGAGAAACAATAATGTACAGTATGTGGAAAAGAATGTGTTTTTTGAACCTTAAACCGCATAAAACGCATTGCATTACACCAAATACACAAAATAATGTTATTTTTAGCAGCATCAGATGACCCCTTTAATAACATATTGGCTGTTTATTAGTACTTATAAAGCACACATTTTGCATGACCATATTCTAATCCGACGCGTTTCAGAAAGGTGGGGCATAGAGGAGAAACAATAATGTAACTTACAGTATGTGGAAAATAATGTGTTTTTTGAACTTTAAACTGCATAAACATTTCATTACACCAAATACACAAAATAATGTTCTTTTTAGCAACATCATATGACCCCTTTAAGGGCTTCGTCTCATTACGAATTCATAATCAGAGTCTGAAACGACTCTGTAATAAAGAGTCGAGTTGATAACCCTCGGCTCAGTGAGTAAGTCAGTTGTTTTGATTCGACAATTGTTCTGACAGATTCAGTCCGCTTCGTAAACGAATCCTTTGGACAGATTTTGGTGAACCGATTCACAAAAAGATCCGAGTCGTTCATGAATCGGACATCGCTAATCAGGCGCTACAAAACGCTAAATAAGCGCGAAAACACAAATAACTGCACGTGCAACAGAACCCAAGAAAAAGCGTCCGTTAAAATCATTAAAGATCAAGTCGCTAACAGCGCGAACCGGCTCAAGGAGGTGTGTTGTTGGATGTACGTGTTAGCATTAGCTACCTGATTGGTCCTGCTCGCTCCTGCATCTCCTCCACCGCCAGCGCCGCCTCCTGCTGCCGCCGCCGCTGCTGCTGCTCCCGCATCGCTGGGCTTCTTCGACAGGCTCTGCTGCTGCTGTCCCGACACTAAATCCTTGGCCCCGACGCCCTGCTGCTTGCTTTTTTTCCTCGCCATCGCTTTAGTCCGTATTATGCCCGTCGGCTGGTCTCCAGGTTCGGTGTATAAACACAGTTTCGGTTCTTGTAGGCAGTCTCGAATGCTCCTGTTCTTTCAGACGGCAAGACAACAGTGAATATGGCGGAGGGCTGGCGCACACACACACACACACACTCACTCTAGCCGCTGGCCTCCGCTCACTCAAGGCCGCGGTGTGTGACGCTGTGTTCCTTTTTACCCAGAATGTATGCATCGTAAGAATGTGAAAGAATGAGCTGTTCAGTCTTTTCACTACAACACAAAGTGATGGACAGAAAGCATGACAAAAGAATAAATGCTTTTCTGTGAATACGAAACATCTCTGGTGTGGGCGTATTTTCTTAATATCTTCATCCAACGGCTGTGACTCTACAGCAAAATCTCGCATGTGCCTTCTCTCCCTCGCATCTCTCAGTCTGACCTCCCTTGACACATACAGACAGACAGACAAATAGACAGACACACAGGCGCACACACACACACACACTCTCTCGAGTAGGTTCAGGGGTCACACTTACTGATGGCAAACGGCTTCAGTATGCTTGGGAAAAACCGAGGAATCCATGTTTAATGAGGGCAATATTTCCAGGCGACAGAGTAACGTTACAGTCGGTCAAACTACAGTAGCGCAGGATTGAAGGAGAAATATCAACAAAGTAAACACGTGCCGCTTTAATACATAATAAATACATGCAAATACTCTATTTGATTGGAGGCAACGCCGGCAAAATGATACGTTAAAATAAAATAAGCCTTTTTTGCGGCCACGTTGTGTTTTCGAATATTTTATAAACATTTCAACTATTATTTATTTGTATTAATATTTAATTGTAATTAAATAATATCTTTTTTTTTACATTGCATTTTTAAAGCTATCTGTAGCTTATACAAAACTGTAACTTTATTAAAACACAGTACACGTACATTAAAATTTCTCACCATATTTTTTTTTTTACTTAATTTTGGCTTCCATATCTTATATTTCTCTAGCTGTTTTCTTACATTTATACATAATTGATTATGGGTGATTGTATGATAATAGATGCACCATTATACTAGTACACTTTCTTCAAACATTTATTAATATTAGTTTATATGTGTGTGATAATTTTTATAACCTCTTACACCCAAATAACTATTTCACATAATACTGTGTTCCCTGTATTATTATATTAGTTTGGTCTCTGACTTTCATATTGTCATTGTGATATTTCACTGTCAGCATTTGTGACTGTTAATTTAGCAGTTAAAAAAAGACACTAATACTTAGGATTGTCTTTTTATTTTTAGAGTGAAGAAACAAACAAGTGGCTCATGATGAATACAGTGAATATTGAACATGATAGCTCAGACAAGGTAACAGTAGTAATACATAAAACATTTCAGTCTATTGAAACAATAGGATTGTTAGCTGTTACTGTAGTATTTGGCAGTGATCCGAATTTAAGGGATTGAAATACATGCAGCACTGATTTTTAAGACTTTGAATTATTTTTATTTTGAATTGTGGTCATATTTATTTCTTGCCATCATCAGCAGTTTTGTCTCATGAGGACCAATCATTGCTAAAGACCCATTTAAGTACTGGAAATATATGACTTGATCAGTTCTCAAACAACTCACCTGAAATTGTAAAACATTATTATTATTTATTTCTGAGATACCTGCGAGATTAAAACAATAGTCTGCCCATGACAAGGCCATTTTTGGATGCATTAATTTTATAAAAACAGGAAACATTTGCTCTAAAAATTAGGATATTCTATGTTCGAATGCATATCAAGTTCATTCATTTGCCCTACAAAGCAAAATACTACATTTTCAGAGATCTGCTTCATTAAGAGGTTTAAAGACACCTTGATGTGTGAGTGAATTATGGTTTGGAGGCACGTCTTTGTTTCGTTCTGTGAAGTATGTTTCAGTCATGAAGATGTACATGAATAAAGGCAGTGAAGTCAGGAAGACAAGGTATTGTATGGGTTGAGCACATGTAAGTTGGCTTCAGGTCACTCTGAGTTTTGATGTTTACCACACAGAGGAACACACTTCTGCCACTACAACCGCTGCACACTTGACTCCCTTTGCTACTTGCTAGCACCAGGTTTAGTCCCAGTTACACATTCTTCTGTAAAAATCACATTCATCATATTTAGCGTTCTCCGTCTTCACATTTCAAAATCCAACAATTCTTGTCAGTACGGAGTACCAAAAAACCCATGGCTATAAGCTGGAATACTTCTGAAGAAACCGGTCATAGGCGTCATAAATTGCTTGCCTAGAAGTGAACAATAATGGATGAAATACATATATTTCAAATTGATGAACCATACAGTTCATTCGCTTGATAACAAGCAATGTGCAGACAATTAACCAAATAATTAGCATTAGTAACTGTGCTGGTAAGAAGTCTCTTATGCTCACCAAGACTGGTGCATTTATTTGATCAAAAATACAGTAAAAACAATACAATTACAATTTAACTCTTTTCATTTTTATTCTATTTTATAATTTATTTCTGTGATGCAAAGCTGAATTTTCAGCAGCCATTTCTCCAGTCTTCAGTGTCCTTCAGAAATCATTGATTTGGTGCTCAAGAAGCATTTCTTAAGCATTTCAATTTTCAATTTTCAATTGAAACACTATTTATTTGAAATAGAAATCTTTCATATCATTATAAGTCTTTACTGTCTTGACTGTCACGTTTGATCAATTAAATGCATCCTTGCTGAAAAAATTATGCAAAAGCACCATAAAGAATCATGATTGTAGTGCATATTATTTGTGTATGTTAAAGTTTTCTGAAGTCACAGCTTTTCATTGCATGGAAGAAAAAAAGTAAGCCGATTCATCTTTAGAACTTCTTTTGTGTTCTACATAAGAAAATAAGTCATATAGGTTTGGAACCACATGAGGGTGAGTAAATGATGACAGAAAATTAATTTCACTTTATACTCCATGAATATTTTTTTTTTCTAAAGTCTGACTTACCGAAACAGTCTTTGTTTGAAGAGATAGGCACTGATGTGGCCTCCTTTGAGGTAGCGAACCTCACAGCCAGGCCAGATTTCCTGTAAGCTGCGAACTCCAGTGCGTGGAACATAAGCGTCTTCCTTTGCCTGGACTATAATGATCAGACTGGGATCTACAGGCACTGGAGACAAAGTATGCAAGACAGAGAGAGGATCAAACACAGGAACCCAATCCAAACCATGTCAACAAAACAAAACAGATTTGTACCTGAAAAATTGGCGATGTGTGTGCATTCGTCCATAACGCCCTTCATGAAGCAGAGAGACTCCCGCTGCAGCGACTGCCGCTGACCAGGCCCCCAGGTGATGTTTTTAGCATGTAGCATGTCCAAATGAGGCCTGCTGCTGCTCACAGCAGACAGCATCTGATCCAGCCCGTCTCTCTCTCTTCGGCCCATCAGTAGGGCAGAGTCTGAGGCACGAGAGGAGCGCAGCCCCATCTGGTGGTCCCTTTCTGGCGAGTGGAGGCCAAGAAGGTCATGGGTAAGATCCAGGTCAGACAGACTGTCAAAGCTGCCTGGGGCATTTTTTACAAATTCCTGGCCCATCCAGAAAGAGTCTTTCTGAAAATCAAGGGTGTGTCAGGTAGTGCTTCGTTAAAATTTTGCACCTTCAAAATGAGTCATGTGATATATTACACAAGGAACAAGTCATATCTTCTTCTGTGATCTTTTGTGGTGTCTTTCATATAAAAAAAAAGCTAAATTACAAGAAAACTCATTTTGCCTACAGAATAACACTCCTACCCCACAATACTCCAGCATACTGATGATTTCTTCCTCATAGACTGTGTGCGCCGCATACTGCTTTTCCAGTTCTCTCCAATTCACAGCTTGACTTAAAACACCCTGCAGAAAAGCAGATCAATTTCATTTCCTTTTAAAAAAGGAAATCGTTTTAGGTAAATCAACCTAAAATACTTCAAATCATTCCCTTTTATTTTAGGTTTATGGAATCAATCTGATGTAGAGCCTGATTATTTATTCATGAATGAAAAATTGTAAATGTGAGTGACTGACAATTGGTGACGTCTATATTGCCATGTTCTGATGACACTGACACAGGAATGAAGACGTCAAGATATTCACAGCTACAAAGTTCAGTAGCTGAGTGACTAATATTGCCTTTAAGTCCTGGGAAATTCCTATATACCAGGGTTATTACAGTTTGCTAAAACTAAAACCATTAAAAACATGAACAACAAACTTGTATTATAAAATAATAAATGCTAACTGAAATAAAATATAAGAAAAAAGTAGTTGCCAAGGCAACATTGCTAATTTTCATTTAGTTTTAACTTGATGTACTAAATGAAATACAATTTATAAAACTATAGACAAAAAACAACAAAAAAACATTAAGTAAAAAAAAAAAGACTAAAACTTTAAAAATTGAAAAGGAAAATATAAAATTAAATACTAAATCAAAATATTAATAAATCATTCTTAAAGCTTATAATAGTATCTAAATAATAACACTGCTACATAGGACAATATTTGGCCGAGATACAACTATTTGAAAATCTGGAATCTGAGGGTGCAAAAAAATCAAAATATTGAGAAAATCGCCTTTAAAGTTGTCCAAATGAAGTTCTTAGCAATGCATACTACTAATCAAAAATTAAGTTTTAATATATTTACAGTAGGAAATTTACAAAATATCTTCATGGAACATGATCTTTGCTTAATATCCTAATGATTTTTGGCATAAAAGAAAAATCTATAATTTTGAACCATACAATATATTTTTGGCTATTGCTACAAATATACCCCAGCGAATTAAGACTGCTTTTATGGTCCAGGGTCACATATGTCTAATATGATGCTAAAACTTAAATCTTACTGTGGTAAAAACACTTGAAGCAGTCGTCCAGGATAAACAAGGTATGAGTGGAATTGGTTTGGGCCAGTTTGTTACAGCTAATGACGCCATCTAGGAGGAAAATGAGTAAACAAATGAACAATAGATATTGGATATGTTAGAAAGGATATGGAACAGGTTCTTCTGAACACAGTTGATCGGAGACAACATGAACTAATTAAGTTAAATGTAAATTAGGATCACAAAACCTACATGTCCACCCATAGAAATGCCAGTCATGCCTAGAGGCCAGAAACCCTCTCGCTCCAGCCAGTGTAACAGTGCAGCAGACTCCAGGATCAGCGCTCCACCCATCACAAACAGGTCTGATACGTTCTTCAGACTGGAGCGACTGCATCAAAAACACAAATAATATACATCGTAAATATGCATGGTTCATTCTAATGCTCCATACCACAAAGACATGGACATCAATAGCTGCTACCAGTAAACAAACACTCACAGTTGGTCTTTAGGTTTCCTGTATCCGTGTACGGTGGAGAGTCAAGGAGGTGTCAGATAAGATCTAGTAATTCTTGATTTACTTTAGGCTTTCAAAGGATATAATAAGGATTCTCCAACAGTAGAGATGCCATCCCTGATTCTTTAATCATTGGTCTGGCCATTAGTGTTCGTCTTCTCCAGAAAAACTGCAA